ATAGACTAGTGACTAGTAATGTTGTTTGTTTAATTATTGTACAATATAACGAATAAAATATCTAATTATTCTTAATGTAATGTTTAACTATATCACCCAGAAAATTGTTTTTCACCCCCAAAATATAAATTGTTACTAATCGCCCCTCAACATGGAAAAACGCCCACATGGGGCGATATCGCCCCTGTTGAGAAACACTGATCTAGGCTAAGCATACAGTATGAAGATCTATATTCTAACTTATTTATTAGTAACTTACTAATTAACTTGCATGAAGTTGTTGAAAATGTTCATTTATATAATTAAATTTTATTTTTTTGCTGGATTTTTTAGTATTTATGAAGGTATAATAGTTTACTAATTAACTGGCCTGACTATGTATACATATGAGTATATCTGATAATTCTATATGCTATATTTTTAATTTTAAAAATTGCTCCAAATTTAACAACATATTATGGAAATCCACTATCAGACAACAATTGATTTCCCAATCTGTGTGTTTTCATTCTAACTTTATTTATAGGTGTTCTACATGCATTAATATCCAAAATATTACTGTTTTTAGCTGATATTTTCTTATTCTTACACAATTGACTAATCCTCTTTTCTAATTCTTTTTTGTTTCCATTGCATTGTTTTCTAATCATTCATAACGTTATATAAATAAGTATTATATATTACATAAGTTTTTAACATTCATAACCTTACATAAGATATGTGGATGGCTTGTTTTTGGTGTTTGATAGAAATGTGGTGAAAGAAAACAATTCAAATTTATTTTGTCAAAATGAAAATTTTTTAGAAAACTCCTTCACTTTTTAGCTAAAAACTCATTGTTAGGATACAGCAAGACACTCTCTGACTTCTTATAATGAGCTTGTAGTCCAAAAGTTTTGCTGTTTTATCCAAAAGTTTTATTTTTTATTTTAAGAAATTCAGTTTAAATTGTGTTAAAAACAAGAGATATGTAAACATCTCAAAGCTCAATATTTTATAATGAAACTAAACGATTATTGGATTTAAATCAGGATAATATAAATAGCCCAATTTAAATCTGGTAATTGTTTGGTTTCAAGAAAGAGGCAATTGATTGGCATTGTTAAAGTGGGATAGACAAAATTCCAATTTGATATGAAAATAGCCAATGCCAAATCTGCTGTATAGAAAGTCTATTTTTAGAAACTGGATAAAAAGAACACAAAATAGATGTAAAAATAAAGATGAATGCATCATTTGCAAGGGACAAGTCAAGGCTTATAGTTGCTGATAGAAAAAAAATCTACTTACATAGTTAGTCATTGTCCCTCTGGGCACATTGCTGCCTAATGTTCCCAGTTGCACAGATGGTAATGAGAGAGAGAGATGGTTAGCTAAAGAATTGTCCATTGCCAAAGTACAGAACTCATTATAATAAAAGATTGAAAGAGTTGGACCTAGTATTTGGATATGATTAACATCAGACTAATAATAATTATGTAAATAAATACAGTATTATTAATTTTAAAATAATTTAAATTTAAGTTAATATTTTGTTTATTATTTTAATGTTGTTTAAATAAACTTCTAATGAGAGAAAATTTTTGTTAAAAATTTACATTTGATTTTTGTTTGTCATTCAGATAATTTATTCTCTTTATGTTCTGCTGAAATTGGATCTAAGATGGGACATTGAACACTTTTCTCAATAAGTAACTGATTTCTGAAAGTTATGCTTTTTTTAATTATTTTTTTTTATTTCATAGCTAGTTATCTAGTTTCTGTATTATTGTTTGCATATGATCATTTGGAATAGGTCTATCAGTTTTTTCCCTATAAAATTCATCCTGTGTTGTTTTATATTTGATATTTGAGGTGTTCTATAGTGTTTCTATCTGGAAATTATTATGATGCTTTTAGTTGTCTAGATAGATAATGTGATAGATTTGTAAACTATAAATACACCTCATGCAGATTGAATTTTATCACTGAAGTGGCATCACTCACTTTGGCAAAATGCATATGATATGTAACTTAGAATTGTATAATGAAAGTGAGAATAAATAATAAATAATTCCTTGTTTTAGGTGTTTTTTTTTGAATGTGTGGGGTGAACTTTTAGAGGTGAGTAACCTCTAAAGTTTGAACAGATTGAGTGATTTTCCTCTTGTTTTTAAACTTTTTTGAATTTATATTTTTGGTCCCATTGGATATTTTAAATGTTGTTAGTTTTTTATATACTTTCTTTATTTATTGAATAAACATCATGTTTATTATCTTGGATTTTGTGAAAATATTTTTATTTTTTGTTAAACTAATTCTCTACAAAGTTGAGAATATATAAGCTATATTTATAATCTTAAGAAGGTATATAGAATATTTTAGATATATAATTTTTACTTTGAATTAACAGGTTTATAAGAATATTTACCTGTTGAATACTGCCTCAAGCTTACTAAAAGTACTATCATATATTTATCTATAAAATAATTATTAATTCTTAAAATTTTATAGATAATGAAATATTTTTTTGTACTTAGTTTCAGTATAGGATACTTCATTAAAGTGCTTTCAAACTTAATGTCAGCTGGAATAGAGTTTTAAAAATGGAAATATTTCTAATGGAGTAATGGCTTCGGCAGCAGAAGATTTTGAAACTTCAGAATTAGATTCAATTATAAATGTAATAGGCTTAACTCCATCTGATCCTCTGGACACATTTGCAGGTATAAAATGAATTGTTAAATTATTACAAATTTAGAATAAAATTTATTTCACACTTGTTTTAATATAATTTTTAAAACAAATTAAAATAAAAAATGTTTTTCAGAAATGTGGTATCAAGTATTTTTATGGGCTTTGTTTTCATCACTATTTGTACATCTTATTGCAGCAGGCATAGCATTTGGAACATTAAGAAAACATAAATTAGGTCGTTTCATGCCTCTTCTTATTGTAATATTTGGAGTTGTTGCACCTTTAACAGGCGGTGTTGTTACAAGTAAGAATTTTAACTATTGCAATAGTGGTGTGTGTGTGTATTATATATATATATATAATCATATAAATAGTTATAAAAAAATCATATGTCCTAGTGACTAGATGTCTTAGCTCTAATAATTTAAGAATTTTTTAAAAATTTATATAACAAAATTATTATTGAATTTGAATATTTAATAATAAATCTTTTTTGTGTTCAATATTTTTGTTATTAAATTATTAAACACAATTGAATATTAAAATTCTTTTTAACATAAAATATAAAATTTGTTCATTTAAACATTTTTATCAAAGTATAAATTGTAAATGAATAATATACTGATGTCATTATTGCATATTTTGCATTTGTAACAAAATTTACACTGTAATAAAAAGTAATTATTATGTATTTTTTTAACTTTTAATTAAAAATAAATTAATTTTGGTTTTTTGTATGTACACTCTCACATGATTGATTAATTACACAAGGATGCAAATAATTTTTTAAATTCAAAATAACAAAATTTCTATATCTAAATTAAAGTTATGTGGCAATTATTATTAAGTAGCAAGTTAAGTGATAAATTGAACAAAATTATATACAGGATCTTTCTAAAATACACATTATTTTCCATTGATTACTACACTAAAATCACATCAGAGATCAATATATACTTATATATGAATTCAGCAGACTTGGGAGTATACCTTAGTATCTTATGAATGTGTCAAATTATTTGGTCAATATTTTTCAATAATGATAATATTAATTTTTTCAAAGTGAGTTTCTTCCTTTCCTTCAAGGAATAATTTATCAGTTCTGGAGAAATATTTTATCGATGGGATAAAATAATTTTTAATGCAATGTTGGATCTTAATCAGCATTATGAGGACAGTGCTGTATGATTTATTTCAATTGGTGTCTGTATATTTTGGCCAGTGTAGCTATAGTTCATGAAAGCACAGAATGGCACAGAAGCTGGAATTTTAGCTTAGAGTAAACTTGCACTTATAACTTCCAGCACATGCATTTCTCACAAATACAAAGCTTTTTCAGATGCCCTCTTCACGTATTAGAATAAGAAAGAAAAAATGTATTTCATTGATCTTCCTTATTGCCATTAAGTTAAAAAATTTAGCTGCCAATGTTCTGCTCTTCCTTATCGTCATTATATTTGAAATAAGGAAGATTGATAGAATAATTTGTTTTTCTTATTTTAATACCTGAAGAGGGCCTCTGAAAAGACTGAAAACATTTGCTTATATTTGTGAGAAACTTAGGTGCTGGAAGTTGTATTATAAGCATATGTTTGCTCTAATAAGTTACATATCACTGTCTTCCATGGTAAAAGTTGGAAACCTCTTCTCTTTTTATGTTAGGTTCCTTTGAATCAACACTGGATTCAATGTTGACATCATCCTACATGTAATGTTCCTTTGTGCCATTTCAAGAATTGGAAATGCAACATTTCTTTAGTGTGCTAGTTTTCTAGGATTTTCATCCAACACTTATTGTAGAAGACTCACAAGATTGAATTAAGTTGATTTCTTACATACTTGCTGTTATGAATATTGGCCTTAATAAAATTATTAAAATAATACAATGGAATTAGTGACAGAGAAATAAGACTCATGGTACTAGAGATCAATGTTCCCTCTAATTTTTTTTATAGATGAGCAGAACATATACTTNATATATTATAATATATATTAGTGTATATATTACTATATATACTATTTATACTTGATTGCTTACTATTCTCTCAATTAGTTGTTCTCTCAATTAGTTGTCTTTGGAACTTAGCATAAAGTTGCTATTGCTATTTTTATTACTATTAGTTTTGGAGTGTAATGATTCCATCAAATGCTACAAATTTTATAAGTCAAAGCTGTATTGGTAAAATGATTTTTGGAAGCTTTCCGTTCCATCATCAGACCCTAATATTTGAAAAACAGAAATTTGAGGTAAAAGATTAAGACATCATTGCTAAATTAGTGTTTAAGGAATAAAGTTTGGAAAACAACAAAGGTATGAATTTAACATGAACTCTTGCCAGGATTTTTACATTGACTTCTACAACATTGTTAATTCTACATTGGCAATAGAAATACATTCAACTGAAAAATATTGATGTTGCTATATTTAAATTTACCTTTTTATAGAATTGTTATTACATTTTTATTTGAATTTAACTTGAATAAATTCATGTTTATAATCTGATTTATACTAAAATTTGCTGTTTAATTATTTTGATTAGTACCATTTCCACATACTCTCTGTTCTGGTTAACTGCATCAGAGTATTTTTAAGATATTAAAAACACCAAAACCCATATTAACTGCTTAAAAATTTGACTGTCTTAACTTGTTAGCACCCAAATTGTTATTTTTTTGAGAATTATTGAAATATAATGAAATTATATTTCAGCAAATGTTAGCAGTGTCTAGACTAACATTACTGAGGTATAAATCATTAGAAATGGAAAAAAGAACTGTCCTATAAATAGGATGCTGGACACTTGTGATATCCTTCACAGATAATAGTAAATGAAAAATCAACGATGTTTGGACTATTAAAGTTCTTGGTTGGCTCAGTTTTTTAATGTAAATTAATAGTTTGATGAATTAGAATAAAAATAATCTATTAATAACCAAAACCTGTTTTATTTAAGTATTGGAATACAAATAAGCAACATGAAATGAAATTACAGTAGTGCATCGATTATCCGACCCCCGATTAACCATCACATAGGTTAACCGACCATTCTATGTTGGCAAATTTCAAATGTCCACTAGTGATGTGGCATTACAATATTTGGCTATGTCTTGGCTACATTAATATTATTTTTGTTAAATTTTTGCATGTTTTAGCTGGCATCAACGGCTCGACCATTGAAGGGAGGTCAATATTTAAACGAGACTTAATTTTCTAATTATGAGTGGTTGTTTGTTTCGTGAGCAATAAAATAATTTTAAAATAATTTTTAACGATACAATAGCGACGATTATTATTTAAAAAAAAATTTTGTTAGGCTAAACATCAATGAAAATTCAACGCAAAGTTGGTTAATAGCGATATACTAATAAACTAATTACATGGGATATACTAATATACTATACTAATAATGTATTTTTTCATTCTTTTCGGTTATCCGATTTTTTTCAGTTATCCGACCAACCTGAGTCCCCAATTGAGTCGGATAATCAATGCTCTACTGTATTTATGAAATTAGGGAAAACCTGAAGTATATAAAGTCATATCACACTTTGTACAATATTTGAGGAGCTTATCTGAACAATTTTGGAATTGGCACCTTCTCTTTTTCCAGTAATATGATCTCTCTCATCCAATCTCACACTATCTAATACTTTTTCTTTGAAATTTGTGCAGATAACTGTACCAATGCTTCTTCATGTGTTCTGCCCAATTTTGACAAATCACCAATATTGCCAAAATTGTATGTGGGACTTTTCTTGAACCTTGTGGCTATAAATTCACTCTTGCTTTTTGGGCTGCAATTTGCAAAAATTGTAGACCTACATATTTCACTATAATCCATCTGTTTGTCTGTCTGTCTTTCCTTAATCTGAAGAACAGAGTTAGATAGATGAAAGATGAGATTAAAAAAATTTTATGTTCTAAATCAATGGATTTTTTTTTTGCCATTTTTTGTTTTGTGAGCCATTTTGAATACAAAATTTGTATTCCAAACTTTCTTAATTGGGTTTATGATATAAAAATTTTATATTCAAAATTATAACCATCAAGAACTTAGAATAATGTTTTTCTTTAAGAAATTTATATTGATATTTATTAGGATATGGAAAATTACATAAATTAAAAATTGCAACACAAAATTTGTTGTAATAAATTTTTTTAAGAATTAAATTTAAGTTAATTATGAAAAAATATTTATTTTGTAATTTCTGTTACACACACATACTTATCCACTTTTAAAGAATATATTATGACACCAACAAAAACTTTTAACATAAATTTATAAAATGAAACTGCTTTTGGACTTTTTCAAATACAGTTTAGCAGTATTTGACAACATTACCAGAATTTTTAAGACAAACCTCTTGGGTCATTGTCATGAACTACTAAATCAGTATTTTTCAACCTTTTTTATGTCACAGCACACTTGAACCTAAAATTAAATTTGAACGGCACACTTAAATTATAATGATTAAAAAAAGAGTAAAAAGAAAAGATTGTATTTTTCATAATTTGTTTATTAACACAAAACAGTTTATTATAATTAAAAAACAATTGCTATTAAATGAAAACTTAATTAAATTGAGCTTTCTATATTATTTTCTGCCAAACTATCTTCTATTAACTCCCACTTTATCTATGGTTACATAGACTTGACATCTGGGCCAGTGTTTCTCAACCTGTAACGAAGCATCGCCCCCTTCAGCGTAGTATCGCCCCCTTCAATAAAACCATTACGCAGTATCGCCACCTTCACTGCAAAATTCCAATGCCGAGGGACAAGGCTAATGCCAAACTCGTACTGCATTGAATAGACTAGTGACTAGTAATGTTGTTTGTTTAATTATTGTACAATATAACGAATAAAATATCTAATTATTCTTAATGTAATGTTTAACTATATCACCCAGAAAATTGTTTTTCACCCCCAAAATATAAATTGTTACTAATCGCCCCTCAACATGGAAAAACGCCCACATGGGGCGATATCGCCCCTGTTGAGAAACACTGATCTAGGCTAAGCATACAGTATGAAGATCTATATTCTAACTTATTTATTAGTAACTTACTAATTAACTTGCATGAAGTTGTTGAAAATGTTCATTTATATAATTAAATTTTATTTTTTTGCTGGATTTTTTAGTATTTATGAAGGTATAATAGTTTACTAATTAACTGGCCTGACTATGTATACATATGAGTATATCTGATAATTCTATATGCTATATTTTTAATTTTAAAAATTGCTCCAAATTTAACAACATATTATGGAAATCCACTATCAGACAACAATTGATTTCCCAATCTGTGTGTTTTCATTCTAACTTTATTTATAGGTGTTCTACATGCATTAATATCCAAAATATTACTGTTTTTAGCTGATATTTTCTTATTCTTACACAATTGACTAATCCTCTTTTCTAATTCTTTTTTGTTTCCATTGCATTGTTTTCTAATCATTCATAACGTTATATAAATAAGTATTATATATTACATAAGTTTTTAACATTCATAACCTTACATAAGATATGTGGATGGCTTGTTTTTGGTGTTTGATAGAAATGTGGTGAAAGAAAACAATTCAAATTTATTTTGTCAAAATGAAAATTTTTTAGAAAACTCCTTCACTTTTTAGCTAAAAACTCATTGTTAGGATACAGCAAGACACTCTCTGACTTCTTATAATGAGCTTGTAGTCCAAAAGTTTTGCTGTTTTATCCAAAAGTTTTATTTTTTATTTTAAGAAATTCAGTTTAAATTGTGTTAAAAACAAGAGATATGTAAACATCTCAAAGCTCAATATTTTATAATGAAACTAAACGATTATTGGATTTAAATCAGGATAATATAAATAGCCCAATTTAAATCTGGTAATTGTTTGGTTTCAAGAAAGAGGCAATTGATTGGCATTGTTAAAGTGGGATAGACAAAATTCCAATTTGATATGAAAATAGCCAATGCCAAATCTGCTGTATAGAAAGTCTATTTTTAGAAACTGGATAAAAAGAACACAAAATAGATGTAAAAATAAAGATGAATGCATCATTTGCAAGGGACAAGTCAAGGCTTATAGTTGCTGATAGAAAAAAAATCTACTTACATAGTTAGTCATTGTCCCTCTGGGCACATTGCTGCCTAATGTTCCCAGTTGCACAGATGGTAATGAGAGAGAGAGATGGTTAGCTAAAGAATTGTCCATTGCCAAAGTACAGAACTCATTATAATAAAAGATTGAAAGAGTTGGACCTAGTATTTGGATATGATTAACATCAGACTAATAATAATTATGTAAATAAATACAGTATTATTAATTTTAAAATAATTTAAATTTAAGTTAATATTTTGTTTATTATTTTAATGTTGTTTAAATAAACTTCTAATGAGAGAAAATTTTTGTTAAAAATTTACATTTGATTTTTGTTTGTCATTCAGATAATTTATTCTCTTTATGTTCTGCTGAAATTGGATCTAAGATGGGACATTGAACACTTTTCTCAATAAGTAACTGATTTCTGAAAGTTATGCTTTTTTTAATTATTATTTTTTATTTCATAGCTAGTTATCTAGTTTCTGTATTATTGTTTGCATATGATCATTTGGAATAGGTCTATCAGTTTTTTCCCTATAAAATTCATCCTGTGTTGTTTTATATTTGATATTTGAGGTGTTCTATAGTGTTTCTATCTGGAAATTATTATGATGCTTTTAGTTGTCTAGATAGATAATGTGATAGATTTGTAAACTATAAATACACCTCATGCAGATTGAATTTTATCACTGAAGTGGCATCACTCACTTTGGCAAAATGCATATGATATGTAACTTAGAATTGTATAATGAAAGTGAGAATAAATAATAAATAATTCCTTGTTTTAGGTGTTTTTTTTTGAATGTGTGGGGTGAACTTTTAGAGGTGAGTAACCTCTAAAGTTTGAACAGATTGAGTGATTTTCCTCTTGTTTTTAAACTTTTTTGAATTTATATTTTTGGTCCCATTGGATATTTTAAATGTTGTTAGTTTTTTATATACTTTCTTTATTTATTGAATAAACATCATGTTTATTATCTTGGATTTTGTGAAAATATTTTTATTTTTTGTTAAACTAATTCTCTACAAAGTTGAGAATATATAAGCTATATTTATAATCTTAAGAAGGTATATAGAATATTTTAGATATATAATTTTTACTTTGAATTAACAGGTTTATAAGAATATTTACCTGTTGAATACTGCCTCAAGCTTACTAAAAGTACTATCATATATTTATCTATAAAATAATTATTAATTCTTAAAATTTTATAGATAATGAAATATTTTTTTGTACTTAGTTTCAGTATAGGATACTTCATTAAAGTGCTTTCAAACTTAATGTCAGCTGGAATAGAGTTTTAAAAATGGAAATATTTCTAATGGAGTAATGGCTTCGGCAGCAGAAGATTTTGAAACTTCAGAATTAGATTCAATTATAAATGTAATAGGCTTAACTCCATCTGATCCTCTGGACACATTTGCAGGTATAAAATGAATTGTTAAATTATTACAAATTTAGAATAAAATTTATTTCACACTTGTTTTAATATAATTTTTAAAACAAATTAAAATAAAAAATGTTTTTCAGAAATGTGGTATCAAGTATTTTTATGGGCTTTGTTTTCATCACTATTTGTACATCTTATTGCAGCAGGCATAGCATTTGGAACATTAAGAAAACATAAATTAGGTCGTTTCATGCCTCTTCTTATTGTAATATTTGGAGTTGTTGCACCTTTAACAGGCGGTGTTGTTACAAGTAAGAATTTTAACTATTGCAATAGTGGTGTGTGTGTGTATTATATATATATATATAATCATATAAATAGTTATAAAAAAATCATATGTCCTAGTGACTAGATGTCTTAGCTCTAATAATTTAAGAATTTTTTAAAAATTTATATAACAAAATTATTATTGAATTTGAATATTTAATAATAAATCTTTTTTGTGTTCAATATTTTTGTTATTAAATTATTAAACACAATTGAATATTAAAATTCTTTTTAACATAAAATATAAAATTTGTTCATTTAAACATTTTTATCAAAGTATAAATTGTAAATGAATAATATACTGATGTCATTATTGCATATTTTGCATTTGTAACAAAATTTACACTGTAATAAAAAGTAATTATTATGTATTTTTTTAACTTTTAATTAAAAATAAATTAATTTTGGTTTTTTGTATGTACACTCTCACATGATTGATTAATTACACAAGGATGCAAATAATTTTTTAAATTCAAAATAACAAAATTTCTATATCTAAATTAAAGTTATGTGGCAATTATTATTAAGTAGCAAGTTAAGTGATAAATTGAACAAAATTATATACAGGATCTTTCTAAAATACACATTATTTTCCATTGATTACTACACTAAAATCACATCAGAGATCAATATATACTTATATATGAATTCAGCAGACTTGGGAGTATACCTTAGTATCTTATGAATGTGTCAAATTATTTGGTCAATATTTTTCAATAATGATAATATTAATTTTTTCAAAGTGAGTTTCTTCCTTTCCTTCAAGGAATAATTTATCAGTTCTGGAGAAATATTTTATCGATGGGATAAAATAATTTTTAATGCAATGTTGGATCTTAATCAGCATTATGAGGACAGTGCTGTATGATTTATTTCAATTGGTGTCTGTATATTTTGGCCAGTGTAGCTATAGTTCATGAAAGCACAGAATGGCACAGAAGCTGGAATTTTAGCTTAGAGTAAACTTGCACTTATAACTTCCAGCACATGCATTTCTCACAAATACAAAGCTTTTTCAGATGCCCTCTTCACGTATTAGAATAAGAAAGAAAAAATGTATTTCATTGATCTTCCTTATTGCCATTAAGTTAAAAAATTTAGCTGCCAATGTTCTGCTCTTCCTTATCGTCATTATATTTGAAATAAGGAAGATTGATAGAATAATTTGTTTTTCTTATTTTAATACCTGAAGAGGGCCTCTGAAAAGACTGAAAACATTTGCTTATATTTGTGAGAAACTTAGGTGCTGGAAGTTGTATTATAAGCATATGTTTGCTCTAATAAGTTACATATCACTGTCTTCCATGGTAAAAGTTGGAAACCTCTTCTCTTTTTATGTTAGGTTCCTTTGAATCAACACTGGATTCAATGTTGACATCATCCTACATGTAATGTTCCTTTGTGCCATTTCAAGAATTGGAAATGCAACATTTCTTTAGTGTGCTAGTTTTCTAGGATTTTCATCCAACACTTATTGTAGAAGACTCACAAGATTGAATTAAGTTGATTTCTTACATACTTGCTGTTATGAATATTGGCCTTAATAAAATTATTAAAATAATACAATGGAATTAGTGACAGAGAAATAAGACTCATGGTACTAGAGATCAATGTTCCCTCTAATTTTTTTTATAGATGAGCAGAACATATACTTCTCTGAGCAAAAAAAATTTTTGCCGAGCAGATTCTGAGTATATATATATATATATATAAAATCTTATTTTTTTCCTATAAAAATTAAAATAATTAATTATAAAGTAGAGATTAAAATTCATTTTAAAACATACTTTTATACGAAATATTATCTTTTGTCAATGATTTAATGTATTTAATCGAAATATACGCAACAATAATCATGTTGCAGACAGAGTGAGAAATAAGTAAACAACAATTCAAATCGGTGTGCATGCTCGCCTGCGCGGCCGCGCAGCTTAGAGGGAACATTGCTTATCGGTCGGGTTAAGTTATAAATCTACTCGTGATTCGCATAATCGGGCGAGGGCGGCTAACAGCCCGGAACCGGTCCTCGATAGAAGTGGATGCAGCACGTATACCGCATCCAACCGAGGTCCAAGGCTTCCACCGGCTAAACCGGGTGATGTCGGTGCTCCGTAAAGCGCGTGCGCGAATCTGGCTTTTTGGATGTCGACAATACGGCGCTTCCACTCCGCCACTAATATTCGAATATACAATAGCGATCTTATCTTCTTTTTCACGTGTAGTATAGAAATTTGTAATAAGATACATAATGCGGTTATAATAAAATATTCATTTTAATTATATGAAAATAATCGCACAATATGTATTTATTTTTTAGAAAATACAAGGGAAGCGGCGCATCCACCGCTTCCAATGTCGGCACGCCACTGAAAGTACAGTACTTTGTTTGAACATTATATTACTGATTAAGAAAATGTTAAGGATATTATTGAATAGCTTGGTTTTTTTTATGTGCACGAAACAACGAAAACTTAGATATATAAGCTGAAAGAGTGTGCTGCTGCCCACGCAATGCAGTCATTTAATGATGCCTGCATGAAGCTGTGGTCGGATGGCATTAAATACCAAGACGAATGAGCGTGGGCTGTTCTAACAGACCCGGCATCTAACTCAGCTTTCAGAAATTTAAAACCAATGTTTGTCAACTTAAATCTCATTCCCATGCATAGTACTGCTTTTAATTTGTTCCGTGAATTAGTACTTTGGGACATTTAACACGTAAACATGTTTATTTCGGAGATGAAAGTTTTAAAGAAAGCTCCAGCAAGAGCCGCTATGTATTATGAAGCAATGCATTTTCCCTGTCATCACAAGGCGAGGAACTTNTTTTAATTATTTTTATTTCCAAACTGATTTTAACCAGTTCTATAGTAAGGTAACATTCCAATAGACAATATGCAAAGCTTTTTTTTCAGTTTACAGCAGTATTTATTACACAAAATTTAAGTAAAGCTTAACATGCCGATCTTGCCCCGATCTCCCCTAAATACAGTACATTTTTTTTTTTCTGTTCTATAACAGGTATATGATTTGAAAATGATAATCAGTTTTAATGTCTTCTTGTGTCAAACATCATGTATAATATACATTCATACATATATATGTCTCTTTAATCCGAAAAATTACAAGAATTCTGGTAGACTATCTTACAGCCTTTAGGTCAGGAACACTGTTTATTGAAGATACAGGTTACAAATGCATTTTGGGCTTATTTTATCTTTAAGCCCTCTTCAGTGCTATATTAAAAAATTTAGAACAATCAGTAATATAACAATATAATTTGTGTAGATTATATCTTCTGACATAAAAACTATTTTATCATATCAAAAAGGTTTTCCATGATTTTTTTCTTACAAATCCTTCTGCCACACTAATATGACACTTCTGGATTTTTTTTACATTATTCACCAATCCTTATTACATAAATATAAATAAACCATAGAAATTTAATATATAAATATTTTTATAATACAATGAAGTTTTTTTTCTTTTTTAAAATACATTATCTTTAAAGTGGGCGTATATCATATTACATTAAAATTCTAAACAATCATTAAAAATTCCCGAAGATAAATTTTTAATCTCAAATAGCAGTAGGGTAACTGTAATTATAGTAACCTTCTAAAATTATTTACAAAAATATAAACTTTTCTTTAAAAAATTACAAAGAATACATACCTACTGACATTAATATTTTTTCTCAACTCACAATATATTGTACTTTACATTATGGTGTATGACTCTTACATTATAGAGAAACTTTTGTTGTAATGCCCTCTATCAAACTATACCATTGCTGATCTATTTGCATACCATTAGAGATATTGATTAAATTTTTACTAGTAGATTTTATAATTTCAATGTGTTCTTTAAATTTATGTTTATAAATGTCTTTTTTGAATGAAGGATTTTAATGTTGTTTCTATCAATCTGACAGTTACTATTTTTTATATGGTTAAACCAAAGAGAATTATTATTTTTTAAACTTATCGCTGTTTCGTGTTCCTTAATTCTTAACTCTAAAGTCCTCCCTGTTTCACCTATATAATCTTTTGGGTTTTGATAATTACAATTAATTTATATAAAACACCTGTTTTTTTCAATTTATCAACACTAGTTTTATATTTTTTTCCCCCTTTCATTATAAACATTATGTGAAATTTTATTGGTTAAAGATAAGGTGTAAGATAGTCTTCTAGAATTCTTGTAATTTCTTGACATATATATGTATGAACGAATAAACAGCTACTATAACAGATATTGGAATTTATGTATAATATTCTTGTGATAAACGAAATCATGTAAAATGGCAATCAAACAAAACTTCAGTTTACCATCTCTTCACAATTAATCTTCACAAAAATAGTTTCATTGTTTTAAGTGTGCATTTTAAAAATTTATTATTTTTCTAGAGATGGGAATGATTTTATGCTTAAAAACATCATTTTTAGATAAAACAAATCAAATAAAAACACTTACCATCCTTTCAATTTGGAATTGGTTGAATCTGTAGATGCAGAACTTGCATCTACAGATTCAACCAATTTCAAATTGAAAATACCGTCAAACTTCTTTATTACAAATTTCTATACAGTAAATTTCTCTGTGTAAAGAATTTTTACATTGTACACTGGTTTTTCAGCCGAAAATATAAGTAAAATTGCCTCTAAATAACAAAGTTGAATTTTTATGTAACAAATTTTTTTTTTAATTGTAAGGAGTATTGATCATTAAAAATAGATTACTTCACCTGGGTTGAGTTTAAATGTAAGTTCAATTTCAGGTATCAATCTGTAAACCCTTTGTAAAACCTTAGTCCATGTGTGAGAAATACGTGTCGTTAGTTTTTTAAACATCATGTAATCTGCCCCCACATGGCTACCAGTTGTAAAGAAGAGAGACAAATGTTATGATTATGAGGATATTTGGACCTAAACAATTTACAATTAACAAATGTTTTAGAGTTATAGTAATACTGTAACCTATAGTTAAATGTTTTCATTGAAAAAATTACTAAACTGTATAAATTTTTGGACGACCAGGAATGTACCCCCTATTCACTTCATAATACTGTACTGTACAGTATAATGGATTAATTTTGTACTGATTTTATTTACACTGCCTCTTCTGGGAAACTCATCTCTGTCATAAAATCAGGGCAGCCTGTACAATGAATATTGATATCATTGACATCTTTTATTATGTACAGTACAGTATTTAACTGAGAAAGCAGTCATACTTGTGTAGATGGCTGAGATGATCATACCTAAATTGTTTTACAGTATTTAATGCTATGTAAAGTTTAAAGGAACTTTCCTAAATTTGTCTTTGAGAGTTCTTAGAAACATTAAAATTGAATTAGCATTTAAAATTGAAAAGTTGCATTTCAACTCTCTATTTAAAAATACAAGTTTGAAGAATGAATGGTTTTATATTGTAGTACAGAAATGCCAAAGCAAAAGTGTTTAAGTATTATTGAAAAAATTAATGTGTTGAGGGAAGTTGATAAAGGCTCCAAAAAAGAAGACATTGCATCAAAGAATTTGGAATTCCTGTGAGTAGGTTATCAACTATAATAAAAAAAATTGTGAATCAATTTTGAAATTTGCTGTAGGACTTGCATCATCAGCTAAATATGCTAGAACCTGTGTCTATGTTAATTTAGATGAAGTACAGGTAACCCCCATATAAAACGGCACTTCTATAGCACAGATTCACTCTAACACGGTTCGAAAATTGGGAACATCCCCCATATAACACGGTGCTTTTATAGCACAGGTTCACTCTAACACGGTTCGGGAATTGGGTAAAACCCTTGTACAACATGAAATGTAATAAAGGGTGTGTTCTTTTATACTTCCGCTTAACTCCGCGTGAGCATTCTAATTATTTTTGTGGCTACTTTGAATGCTCTTTCAACAATAATCTATTTAATGGTTAAATTTTACAATTGGGACCCTTCTTTTGCCTCTAAAAGCTCATTTTAGAATTATAGATTCCTCCACACGATACTATCAATAGTGCAGGCGCTGCCATCTTTCTTTCACCGTTGTTCCTAAATGCCTACAAACGGCAGCGCACTCTTGTTGCAGAGTGACCGCTATTAACAAACACACCCACAAACTGTTACCAGTTGATTATGCTCATGCTGAGATCATCATATAAAATGAATAATCCTCTGGTAAAATATTTACTTTAATAATAAATAAGTATTTTACCTATGAAAAAAATNGCCCTTTAGACCATATTTAACATTCCATTGACTGATAATTTACATTTGATTTTTGTTTGTCATTCAGATAATTTATTCTCTTTATGTTCTGCTGAAATTGGATCTAAGATGGGACATTGAACACTTTTCTCAATAAGTAACTGATTTCTGAAAGTTATGCTTTTTTTAATTATTTTTTTTTATTTCATAGCTAGTTATCTAGTTTCTGTATTATTGTTTGCATATGATCATTTGGAATAGGTCTATCAGTTTTTTCCCTATAAAATTCATCCTGTGTTGTTTTATATTTGATATTTGAGGTGTTCTATAGTGTTTCTATCTGGAAATTATTATGATGCTTTTAGTTGTCTAGATAGATAATGTGATAGATTTGTAAACTATAAATACACCTCATGCAGATTGAATTTTATCACTGAAGTGGCATCACTCACTTTGGCAAAATGCATATGATATGTAACTTAGAATTGTATAATGAAAGTGAGAATAAATAATAAATAATTCCTTGTTTTAGGTGTTTTTTTTTGAATGTGTGGGGTGAACTTTTAGAGGTGAGTAACCTCTAAAGTTTGAACAGATTGAGTGATTTTCCTCTTGTTTTTAAACTTTTTTGAATTTATATTTTTGGTCCCATTGGATATTTTAAATGTTGTTAGTTTTTTATATACTTTCTTTATTTATTGAATAAACATCATGTTTATTATCTTGGATTTTGTGAAAATATTTTTATTTTTTGTTAAACTAATTCTCTACAAAGTTGAGAATATATAAGCTATATTTATAATCTTAAGAAGGTATATAGAATATTTTAGATATATAATTTTTACTTTGAATTAACAGGTTTATAAGAATATTTACCTGTTGAATACTGCCTCAAGCTTACTAAAAGTACTATCATATATTTATCTATAAAATAATTATTAATTCTTAAAATTTTATAGATAATGAAATATTTTTTTGTACTTAGTTTCAGTATAGGATACTTCATTAAAGTGCTTTCAAACTTAATGTCAGCTGGAATAGAGTTTTAAAAATGGAAATATTTCTAATGGAGTAATGGCTTCGGCAGCAGAAGATTTTGAAACTTCAGAATTAGATTCAATTATAAATGTAATAGGCTTAACTCCATCTGATCCTCTGGACACATTTGCAGGTATAAAATGAATTGTTAAATTATTACAAATTTAGAATAAAATTTATTTCACACTTGTTTTAATATAATTTTTAAAACAAATTAAAATAAAAAATGTTTTTCAGAAATGTGGTATCAAGTATTTTTATGGGCTTTGTTTTCATCACTATTTGTACATCTTATTGCAGCAGGCATAGCATTTGGAACATTAAGAAAACATAAATTAGGTCGTTTCATGCCTCTTCTTATTGTAATATTTGGAGTTGTTGCACCTTTAACAGGCGGTGTTGTTACAAGTAAGAATTTTAACTATTGCAATAGTGGTGTGTGTGTGTATTATATATATATATATAATCATATAAATAGTTATAAAAAAATCATATGTCCTAGTGACTAGATGTCTTAGCTCTAATAATTTAAGAATTTTTTAAAAATTTATATAACAAAATTATTATTGAATTTGAATATTTAATAATAAATCTTTTTTGTGTTCAATATTTTTGTTATTAAATTATTAAACACAATTGAATATTAAAATTCTTTTTAACATAAAATATAAAATTTGTTCATTTAAACATTTTTATCAAAGTATAAATTGTAAATGAATAATATACTGATGTCATTATTGCATATTTTGCATTTGTAACAAAATTTACACTGTAATAAAAAGTAATTATTATGTATTTTTTTAACTTTTAATTAAAAATAAATTAATTTTGGTTTTTTGTATGTACACTCTCACATGATTGATTAATTACACAAGGATGCAAATAATTTTTTAAATTCAAAATAACAAAATTTCTATATCTAAATTAAAGTTATGTGGCAATTATTATTAAGTAGCAAGTTAAGTGATAAATTGAACAAAATTATATACAGGATCTTTCTAAAATACACATTATTTTCCATTGATTACTACACTAAAATCACATCAGAGATCAATATATACTTATATATGAATTCAGCAGACTTGGGAGTATACCTTAGTATCTTATGAATGTGTCAAATTATTTGGTCAATATTTTTCAATAATGATAATATTAATTTTTTCAAAGTGAGTTTCTTCCTTTCCTTCAAGGAATAATTTATCAGTTCTGGAGAAATATTTTATCGATGGGATAAAATAATTTTTAATGCAATGTTGGATCTTAATCAGCATTATGAGGACAGTGCTGTATGATTTATTTCAATTGGTGTCTGTATATTTTGGCCAGTGTAGCTATAGTTCATGAAAGCACAGAATGGCACAGAAGCTGGAATTTTAGCTTAGAGTAAACTTGCACTTATAACTTCCAGCACATGCATTTCTCACAAATACAAAGCTTTTTCAGATGCCCTCTTCACGTATTAGAATAAGAAAGAAAAAATGTATTTCATTGATCTTCCTTATTGCCATTAAGTTAAAAAATTTAGCTGCCAATGTTCTGCTCTTCCTTATCGTCATTATATTTGAAATAAGGAAGATTGATAGAATAATTTGTTTTTCTTATTTTAATACCTGAAGAGGGCCTCTGAAAAGACTGAAAACATTTGCTTATATTTGTGAGAAACTTAGGTGCTGGAAGTTGTATTATAAGCATATGTTTGCTCTAATAAGTTACATATCACTGTCTTCCATGGTAAAAGTTGGAAACCTCTTCTCTTTTTATGTTAGGTTCCTTTGAATCAACACTGGATTCAATGTTGACATCATCCTACATGTAATGTTCCTTTGTGCCATTTCAAGAATTGGAAATGCAACATTTCTTTAGTGTGCTAGTTTTCTAGGATTTTCATCCAACACTTATTGTAGAAGACTCACAAGATTGAATTAAGTTGATTTCTTACATACTTGCTGTTATGAATATTGGCCTTAATAAAATTATTAAAATAATACAATGGAATTAGTGACAGAGAAATAAGACTCATGGTACTAGAGATCAATGTTCCCTCTAATTTTTTTTATAGATGAGCAGAACATATACTTCTCTGAGCAAAAAAAATTTTTGCCGAGCAGATTCTGAGTATATATATATATATATATAAAATCTTATTTTTTTCCTATAAAAATTAAAATAATTAATTATAAAGTAGAGATTAAAATTCATTTTAAAACATACTTTTATACGAAATATTATCTTTTGTCAATGATTTAATGTATTTAATCGAAATATACGCAACAATAATCATGTTGCAGACAGAGTGAGAAATAAGTAAACAACAATTCAAATCGGTGTGCATGCTCGCCTGCGCGGCCGCGCAGCTTAGAGGGAACATTGCTTATCGGTCGGGTTAAGTTATAAATCTACTCGTGATTCGCATAATCGGGCGAGGGCGGCTAACAGCCCGGAACCGGTCCTCGATAGAAGTGGATGCAGCACGTATACCGCATCCAACCGAGGTCCAAGGCTTCCACCGGCTAAACCGGGTGATGTCGGTGCTCCGTAAAGCGCGTGCGCGAATCTGGCTTTTTGGATGTCGACAATACGGCGCTTCCACTCCGCCACTAATATTCGAATATACAATAGCGATCTTATCTTCTTTTTCACGTGTAGTATAGAAATTTGTAATAAGATACATAATGCGGTTATAATAAAATATTCATTTTAATTATATGAAAATAATCGCACAATATGTATTTATTTTTTAGAAAATACAAGGGAAGCGGCGCATCCACCGCTTCCAATGTCGGCACGCCACTGAAAGTACAGTACTTTGTTTGAACATTATATTACTGATTAAGAAAATGTTAAGGATATTATTGAATAGCTTGGTTTTTTTTATGTGCACGAAACAACGAAAACTTAGATATATAAGCTGAAAGAGTGTGCTGCTGCCCACGCAATGCAGTCATTTAATGATGCCTGCATGAAGCTGTGGTCGGATGGCATTAAATACCAAGACGAATGAGCGTGGGCTGTTCTAACAGACCCGGCATCTAACTCAGCTTTCAGAAATTTAAAACCAATGTTTGTCAACTTAAATCTCATTCCCATGCATAGTACTGCTTTTAATTTGTTCCGTGAATTAGTACTTTGGGACATTTAACACGTAAACATGTTTATTTCGGAGATGAAAGTTTTAAAGAAAGCTCCAGCAAGAGCCGCTATGTATTATGAAGCAATGCATTTTCCCTGTCATCACAAGGCGAGGAACATGGATAAGGGCTTTTCTCTATTGCGAAAATATTGATTCTGTTGCAGTTGGTCTAATTACGAACTTAGTTTTGGATGCTAGTGTTCAAGAACAACTATCTGATGTTCATACAATCATCGAATTAGAAAGCATCTTCAAAAAGAAAAGCAGTGAAAACTGTTTTCCTCAGTAAGAGATGTTAGATATATTAGCCAAAAACTTGAAATGTCTTGCTAATGATTCAGACTTAAAAAAAAAAAGTAGTGAAATTTATTTTGGTAGATACGTGATTTACTTTGAAGAAATATAACGAATCTATTCTACTCTCAGATTTAAAAAATGATACGTAAAACATATACATGATTATTTTTCCGAAACCCGATATAACTGACGATTGAGTTATTTTCTGAGAACACATTATTCAAAATAAATAAGTATAATCTTGCCTTGGTTTATATTTTTGGATACTATTTATATACTGTGAGAATATGTCGGGAAGTCGGCCATTAGAGACAGAGGAATACATATAATATAAAATCGAACGAATAATTTATTGTAACATGGTCTTGTCTGGCTGCAATTTTTAATTTTAGTTTAAAATATATTCTCTCCACCTCAAATTACTGTCCGCTTGTCCCTATACATTATACTTTTCCTTTAACAATAGACCGATCATTAACACCTTTGGGGGAAGATTTTTGAATTGAAATAACAACTTCCGGTTTACATAGGATGTTCATATATAGTTAATCAAGGCTTCCATATCTGGTCTCTGATTTCATCTAACTCCGTTCTCGAGATTAAGGAAAGACGACGGACGGACGACAGTGGAACTTATACATCTACACTATTTTCAAATTGCAGCCCAAATATTTGGCTAATTCTTAGTTAACTGTACAAAAGTACACTTAACCAAAAAGTTTGTTTTACTTATAATTACAAAATTAAATCGACAATTTTTCTATTAAATACTATTTTTATTAACATCATAAATTTGCTTAATTTTTTTAAACATTTTAAAAATTAAGACAGATCCATCAAATTTCAAGTACATTAATTTGAAATAAACATTCTTAAAATTAATCCTTAATGATTAAATATCTGTACTTAATTTTTGGCTAAGTGTACTAATAGTAATTATTTTAGCAAATTTAAATTAGAATAATATATACTCTTAACTGTAATATAAAAGGTGAAAAATTATTTGTAGTATTTTTGATCCATCAATCATCATTCAAAACACACAGCATTATTTACATATATTTTTCCCCCATTAAAACTAAACAAGAATTAAATTAGAAAACTTTTTCAGCTATTTATCACTTTAAATAATGAATTATATCAATACAACAATGTTAAATGCACAAGCGAAGAGTAATCTGAAAACCTGTATCAAAATATATAAAAAATATTTAGATAGATATTTTACATGAACAATGAATAGAACAAATAAACGATAATATCCCTCCTCATTTTTGATTGAACAGTAATATATAGTGAAGAAATTTTTCTGAATAAAAGCTTATATGTAAAGACTATTCAATAATTTTCAAGTTAAAAACATTTTTAATTACAGCTTGTCAAGTTTTTGCAGGTAAGAAAGTAAATTTTATTAATTTCAAAAATAAAAATCACTTATTTGAATTATGGACAAAATTGTACAACTTTAATGCAACATCATATAAGAAATGATTCTCACAATTCTAAACTTTTTGGTGAAATTTGATTTTTTCTTTTTACAAAACTCAGGAGTTTTCTTTCTGGTCCAGTTCTAAAAATATTTATATTTTTTTCAACAAACTAAAAAATGTACACTGAACCCCTTATTAATCCAAATCATTTAAAATATGTTTAATCTAAAATAACTTTTAATTATACATATATAATATATATTATTAAAGTTTATTTTCTATTCAGAGTACAGCAATAACCAGTTATGTGATTTAGATTAACTGAATTTAGTGTACTTCTTTCAAAATGTTTATACAATACCATTTCAGTTTGTTGATTAATGATCATTTAAAATTCTATAATGTTTTTCCTATCCAAAAAGCACAAATATTGTGAATGAAGAATTGATTTATTCTATGTGCATTTCTTCAAAGTTGGTTTGATAAATTTTACATGAAAATACAATGTTCAAAATTATTTGGTGATTCTGTGTTGGTTTAAAATTAGAATTTTATTTCTCTTGTGATTGTCCTTGGCTTTAATTTATATTTTGCTCATGGGCATATGAAAAATGATGAAATTTATGATTTTATTCCAAAATATTTAACTATGTGTCACTCTTCCATAGTTTGATAGTTTTGTCATTTTCCAGAGCAGCCGAGGCAATGATATTTTCTGTTGGATGGCAGGCAGTACACAAGACCACATCTGTAATGTAAGATATTTAAATTATTAAATAATTGAATTAAAAATATTATTTTAAACGATACATCTTTGAATTTTTGATCTTATGTAACTTCTTATCTATATAAAAGTTATAATATTGCATTAGTAAGTAAATAGTCCCTAATCATCATTGGTAATGTCACAGTACATAGATCATTATTAATGTTATTTGCAGTATATAATACTTCATAAAAAAATCATTTATGTTATTAACAATAGTTAAAACTCAGGTCCTAGGAATCTTCTGCATTAGAAACATTTGTATTCAAAAGTAAAATTATTCATCTAGTTTGCCAATTAAATTTAATAATATTGGAATTTAAAAACAATTAACACTAATTTTAATAAAATATAAAATTCATCTGGATACGAGTCCAAGTTTACTTGCCATCTCTAATCACCAGGAACAACTATTTCCATTGCAGAGACAACCTTTCTTTAGAGGCTATGCCTCTGCACGAATATGTAAAACAGTTTAAAATGTCCACAGGTGACAATCCCAACACAATTAAAAATATAATATTTGTTTGTAGAAATGGGCTGGCAG